AAAGTGCTGATCCTACAGAGGAGCTTCCCTCACCTCAGTCATGTTCCCTCCTCTGTCACAAGCTCTCTTAGCATCTAATCTCTTCCCAGATAGCAGCGACCTCTGTTGTAATTAAATATGTGAAATTATGTTTGCTTAGTGCCTTCCTCCTCACCGTGGGGTCCCTGAGGACTTTATTCAATGCTGCATCCAATACCTGTAGCACACCTTGTTATATATAACAGGCACTCAATAAATGTTGGAGGAATGAAAAGTATCAAATTATAGCTACAATTTTATTGCTTTTAAATGTCTCTCAACAATTTCACTTTAAATATTGCATAATATATTTGTATATTACATTATTATATAATTTAAAGCAGTTTGATCTCTGATAAAGGACTCCGTGGCACAAGATGACTCTTACAGGTTTGGAAGTTGCAAACTGTTGCAGGTTTAGTCCTTATAAGAAATGAATTAGCCTCTGAAAGTAAGTCTGGGGCCTAAGTATAAAAGGCCTGTGAAACTTGCCATCGTGTTGCAAATCCAACTGTTGGTCAACTTTATTTCTTCCCAGCTACTTAATGGGCAACTGGAATAAACTGCAGCAGTGGTTTTGTTGTGGGGTTGTGGGGTTTTGGATTATGGGGTTCCCATGACAAAGGGTCATGTGAATAGAGTTAAAATGAGACAAATATTCTTAGTCAATTGTTATTTGACCATAATGAAACTGTTTGTGAAAATGATTATGTGATAATTATTCATAAGCAAATAAAAACTAATTCTTTACTTTCATAACGACTTGTATCATTTATAAAAACACTTTCACAAATACTATTTCATTTGACTTCCATAAAAATCTGCGATATGAAAAAAGAACTCGATCTCCCAGAGAAAGTGAAGTATCTTACCTAAACTCACATGTCTAGTAAATGGAAGAGTAAAACCCTAAACCCAGACCTTTTAGTGCCAAGTTATATGTTTTCTTCTATGTCATATGGCCCATCTGCATTAGACTCTAACTAAAGAAATAAAAACCTACATAAAATGTAACTTAATTTTTCAATTTCTCTTTCAACTTCTTTCAAAAACCTGGATCCTTATTGTAAAGTACAAATCTTTGGAAACATATGGACGACTCAGACTATCTACCAAGTTTAGAAATAGGAAACTAAACCAAACGTTTGTAGCTCCAGCTTCAGTTTAAGGGTTGCAATGAGAAACAATTTGCTACTGTTATCTTCTATAGCCTGCTGCTAAAATAATTATCTGAAAAGTCCAACCCTCTTATCTTCGGAAATCTTTTTTAGCACCTTGATTTTATGCATGAGAGGAGCCAAAACACAAAATTAGAGACATGGCACATCTGTGTTTGTTAGCATAAAACTTGTATTATCTTTTCCTAATAATCCTCTCATTATTATCTCTTTGCCTTTTGAAGCTGGAGCTCCTATTATTTATTCACAATTGATATCTCAGGATCCCTTAGGAGCCCTAATGTACAGGAAATAATTACAAAACTTTGAATGAGCATGGAGTTATAAACTCAAACCAAACAACCTTTTTAAAAGTAAGCATAATTTAATGAGGGTTTTTAGAAATGATATAAAATGGTTGTATTGCTCATTACAACAACAAACATCTCCGTTATAAAATAAGGAATATTTGTTCGGACAGATATTACTTCCATATGGCTATACCAAGTCATCTGGTCCAGAATTTATAAAAAGAATGCTTTTGAAGATGTGTGGGGAAACCTCCACTTTCGAAAATTTGCCTACATAGAAACAAAATGGCACTTAGGAATAGTTACAAATTAGTAGTCTTCCTAGCCCCTTACACAAGCGATACAAAATGCTCCTCTTGGTACACACCCATGAGAAATGAAAATGTATGTCCTCACAAAAACTCATACATTAGTAATCATAGTAGGAGGATCAGTCATAATAGCCAAAAGATGGAAATAACCCAAATGTTTATCAATTGACGAATGAGTAAACAAACTATGGTATATCCATACAACGGACTACTGCTCAGCCATCAAAAGAAATGAAGTATGAATACATACCACAACGTGGATGAAACCTGAAAATACTATGCTAAGTGAAAGAAGCCAGTCACAAAATACCACATGCTGCCATACGAAATGTTCAGAATAGGGAAATCTATAGAGACAGAAAATACATCAGTGGCTGCTTAGGGGTGGGAGTGAGGAGATGGGAAGGGGTGGGTAGCTAAAGGGTACAGGCTTTCTTTTGGAGGCAATGAAAATGTCCTAAAACTGCGGTGATGGCTGCACATATCTGTGAATACACTAAAAACCACCAAATTGTATACTTTAAATGGTTAAATTGTATGCTGTATGAATTCTATATCAATAAAGCAGCAGAAAAACGAAAAGTCTTAATAAATTTTAAAAGACACTTAAAACGCCGTTTTAATAGAATCCCTTCTCTGCTCTCCATGCTCAGAGCCCTCTTAGCACCGAGGTGCTTAACAGCACTTGCTCGTACGGTAGCATTAGCCCCCGAGAGCGAAAGGAAATCTTCCCCGGTGTGTGAGAGCTCTTGATGATTAGACTTTTAAAAATGACAATGGTCTGTCTGAGGAAGCTCCTGCCAGGCAGATGTTCCCGGAGAAAACAACTATAAACACAAAAGGGCAGCTAAGCAAGGCGCTGGAGAGGGAAGAAGAGCAGGCCACGGCTACAAGGAAGTTGAGTCTTGCAAGAAGAGAGAGGCGGAGGTGAGTTTCAGGGTTGTGTCCCACCATTGGCCTGAGAGCAGGCCACGGTTGACACCACTGAGCAAGAGGTGACTAAAAGGCAGACAGAAAACCTGCGGTCCTCGCCGGCTGAGGCACTGTTCCGTCCTCTTACTTGTCCCATGTGCTGCCCTCTGGTTTCTGTGAAACCCACATTTCACAGCTTCTCTGACCACACTTCCTCCTTTTTCTTTGTCTATTCCCTCACTGGCAACCTCCAGAGCTCAGCCCTCAGCGTCCAGCCAATAGATTTTCTCTTCACAATTTGTCAACTGCTTCGACTATCACTGAGATTCCCGCAAACGTAACCGTAGCCAGAATGCCCCTCTCTGCTCCCCTTCAGGACTCCTCCAGCTTCAGACCCTTAACAGCAGGGCAGGAGTTAAATTCCAAAGTCAGCACACAAGGCAAAAGTCATATCCAGTCACCATTTGCCTTGAAATTGCCTTAGGAAAGCAACACGCTAGAGTTGTTGTATTCCTCCATTTCTTGGCTCTAACTGCACTGTCAAATTTCTTCAAGATAAATGCACTTAAACTATGATTCCACTCTTGCTTGTCCCACGAGTATCTCTAACTTACAAACCAGACATCCAACCTGCCCTTCCTCTCTACCTGCATGGGACTCCTCCACCTTGATTTCCTATATTAACAGATGGCATCAAAATCAACCTGGTTACCCAAGCCAGAAATTTAAGCCTTGATCTCTCCCTCTCACCGAAATCCAACCAGTCTCGATTTCTGTTGATTGTAATGCACCCAATGCCTTATTTCAAACCCTTACCACCATTACCTAGACCATAGCCAGAGCCTCCAAATGGTCTCCCTGCTTTCATATTTTTCTGCCTCCAATCTTCTAAAGTATATCCAGTTCTACTGTCTTTTGCAAATGCAAATATAATCAGATTTTTCCTTTCTTGGAAAGATTCTCCAACGTAATCCACCACCCATAGCAGTGGTTTTCAAGCACTTGTAGCAGATAAATTCTATTTTTGAATAAATATCGATAACATCTTAAGATCTACAAACAGATATGAGTTGTATTAGGATTAATTTATTTTATAAGCTCTAAATGTAAAATTTTTATAAACTAATCTGTGAAAAAATAATAGATAGTTTTGGTGAAATAAAAAAATTCAAAATCATTGGTAATACAATTAGATCAGCATCACCTTGATATTTCTCTGTTTTATTTGGTTTCACACATTCAAAAAATTCTGATTCATGTCAGTAAGTGTCTACCAATGATAAGAGTTTGTTGTTTTTCCCAACAGTTCACCTCTCAAACTGAGGTTATGGTTCATTCGAAGAAAAAGACAGCAAGATGCAAATAACAAATGAGTTAAACTATCAGCACATGTTATTTGGTTTATGGTCTCCACTTGGTTAAAATTTGGTATGCAATTTTAGTTTAAGTGTGTGTTTAAGATCTATTTTTTAAAAATGAAAGTCAAACCAAACATCTGTGCAATCCTTGAGTCTCCTCCTCAGAACCTTGTTTTCATGGAATAGAGTTTGAAAACCAGTGATCTAGATGCTAAAGCCCAAACCCTTTAGTACGAAATGCAAGCTCCGGTGTCATTTGGACTTTATCAATCTAGCTGCATTTCCTGCCACTGACAAATTTTCACCCAGTTTCCCAAGTCCATCTTCATCTTTCACTTTACATACTTCACATACTTTTGCACATTACTATTTTCTCTGCCACATGTACTCCTAAACTACTACCTTCTAACCTGAATTTCTATTAACTGAATTCCAAAGTTAAAATGTTAATTCCCCTGTGATGCCTTCTTTGCCCTCATAGGACCCTGCAGATACCTCTGTCTTAAACTTGTGTTGCCTTGTGTGATGATCATTGCTTCTTCTCAACTGCGAGCTCCTAAGAAAGGATGAATTTCACCATCTTTCAGTTCTCAGGGACTTTCAAAGTGCCTGAAACCCAGGAATCATTCCTTAAGTGTTTTAAATTAATTAATCCATTAATTAATATTAATAAAAATAACCAGTCGATTACAGTAGCTGAACCCCAGTAATCATTCCTTAAGTGTTTTAAATTAATTAATCCATTAATTAATATTAATAAAAATAACCAGTCGATTACAGTAGCTGAACCTGCAGATTTGCATAAGATAGTCAATAGATAATCTGCACTGATTTGACACTTTAGGTTAAATAAGGACTAAGTAGAAATCATTCTTATAAATCATGACAATTTTCATTTTGACTTCGCTTTTCTTTAATAATGGCATTACCCACCAACAAAGGACAGCAGGATCACCAGGAGGAGAGCACAGAGGCATGGAATCAGGACCAGCAACAGGAAACGGAGAAGGTTGGCCATCACCAGCTTCTGAGAGCAGCCATCCCCTATAGTGTTGTCATCAGCTCCCAAGACCTAAAAGAGGAAAATGAAGCATGGTTTTAATATTAGAAAGAAACTCAATACATAGCATGAATTTTTAAATTACAACTATCCATTTAAAACAGGAGCATTTCTAAAAGATTTTATTGTGTGTACTTTCGGGCATGAAATGGGGTTAGTCACCAAATCATGCTAATAAATGAACAAATAACTGTACACCTACAATTAGGGAAGAGCGAATCATCTATTTCTGAAACATTTTTCAGGTTTTCAGGAGAACATGAACTTTAAATAATATTCCTTTTTTTTTTTTTTTTTAACATATTTGCCAATTTGGTATTATTCCAAGGGGCTATGGATTACCATAGCAAGAAATCACCCTGGCCCAAAGCTATAAGCAAAGACTGCCTAAAACAGTATAAAAAATTGGTAAGTAGGTATAGACGGGACATTATCTAGAATTCATTCTTGTTTGTCTCAGTCTCACCGAAATCTGTATGAATCCGGATAAAATAAGGTTTCAGCCATTAGTAACTCAACAAGGCTCCGCATTACTGACCATGCATTTAGTGACAAGTTGAACGATGAGAAGAAAACTGCCATGTTTCCAATTAAATGAGAACAAATTTGAGGACATCCTTGTTGTCAGTTCCACCCCTGGAGCCCACCCACTGGGAAAAGATGATGAGGAACAACAATGATGTTGGAAAAAGTTCTTGTCTTCAAATGCTTCAAATTTTGCTTAGTTCAATCTCTTACGGGAAATTATGTCTGGAAACTCACTTATTAAAACTGTCTAGCTTAGGGCAGTGCCTTTTTCAAAAGAAGCCTGAGATGGTACTAATAGTGCTTTGAGGCACTGCAAGCAACTCTCCTGGGCCCGTTAACGAAGGCATTTCTCATGGTTCTCTCTGGTCCGCTGATTGCATTTTCTCCTCCAGCAGTTTCAGAACTTGAACTATAACCTCTGTTTAACTATCTCCTGAATCTCTCTTGCGTCCTGAATTTCCTTTCAAGTTACACCAGATGCTTCCATTGCCTGGTGCTTAGCAGCACCTCTTTGCAACAAGTCCAAACCAAAACTAATCTCCTTCTCTCCTCCTACCTTCAAACTCGTTCTTCTCCTGACTTCCACATTTACGTTCACAGAAATGCCACTATTCCAATAACCCAGAGACTTTTCACTTCTCCATCATCCCCATGCTACACGTTACCAGGTTTTGTTACTTCTTTCTCTGTAATAAATATCTAACTTAAAAAAAAAAAATGACCTTTGAGATAGAAGCTGTTCTAATGAATGATTCTGTAACATTGTTAAGACTTCCTGACCAGGACTGGACCACGTCCCATGGATAAAAAGGCAACTTCAAAGAGTGCTTCTGAATTGCAAAGAATATGTGATTCTCCATTTCTGCTTTATTACTCCCATATCAGAATCAATTCTTGTTCCCTAACACATATTGCAAATAGTGTTCACTACACAATGTGATGACACCTTCTGTAATTTTAAGAATTCTCCATGAGGACATTATTTGAAAGACTCATGTTAGCTTGAGAAAAGCTTAATTTTCCTGCTTAATGTCTTTACTGACCCATTCTCTCTCCACCTGGCTTAAGCTACCAGCTAAGGTGAGATCATTTAGAGTTAATTGACAATTGCTCTTCAAGAAGACATAGCACTGGCACAATATATAATAATATGAGATCTGCAATAATAGCTCCTTGATTACCACACCACCATTGTGTAGGTGGTGCCCTTTTAGGCTTGTATATAAAATTTATCTTTTAAAAAAACAAGTGTGGAACTGCAGGCCAATGGAGATAGTGGCAGAATCAACTGATTTCACTTACTCGACAATTAGTTATTGAACACCTAATAATTTATAATTAGCATAGTGATAAATATAACAATGATTTCAAACCAACTGTTTCTCAACAGCTCACAGTCTTATAGGAGAGAGAAGATATGCACGTGAATAATATAATTCAAGGTAGCCAATGATAAGCATCATGAGATTGATAGCTAAAGTTCCACAGGAATTCAACAGATAGGAATATGATTTCTTGCTGGAAGATCAGGTAGGACATTGTGGAGAGAGCAGCACTTGAACCGGCCATAACTCTAAGAAAAGAACCTCTGAAAAGGTCTGCTATAGCGAAAAAAAAAAAAAAAAAGTTGTAAAATACATCCAAAGAGGAAAGGAATTACGAACTTTGACTTCTACAATAATGAAAGAAGTTTCTTTGTTAAGGTGCTCACAGGACCAATACAGGGAGGATAATCTTCATGGGTGGCGAATTCACCATGGCTCATTGCTGTCTGGAGTCCTGTAGCAAAATCCATCCCATTTAGTGTACATAAGTAAACAGTCAGTGGAGAAAGTGCTAGAGGCTCATTTCAATATCTCATATAAGTATATATCAATAAGTATGTGACCTCCAGAACCATATTCATGATTAGTCTAAATATTTTCTCCAGTAACAAGGAAATTGATTGCTTTTATCAAAGAGAGAGGAGGAAGAAATAGAAAAAATTCAATGATTCAGCACTTTCTTCTTGATTGCATGACTTTCCTCTTGCACTTACAGCCGCTTAGGATTATTGCCGCAAATGCTGCATTATTCAGAGGCCCTTTGAGCTTCCTCTGAACATAATGCAACTCTCAGACTTTACTGTTGAATGAATAATGCCCCAGATGACATGAACTACTAGGACAATCCCTAAAATTTGTTTCAGTGGCCTCTGAGCAATCATCTGTCCTGATGACTTCCCTCTTCCAGAATCTCCCCTCCTCATCCTCGAAACCGTAAGCTGAGCACAGACACAAAATGCCACAGTTCTGGCAAGGCACGATGCATTGGGTTGGACCTGCGTGTGTTGTAAAGCATGTGATTCTCATGTTCTACTAATCCTGTTGGTGAAAACGCACTTCTTGTATCTTAATAACTACGTTTATTTTCAGAGCTGTTGTGTTGGTATATACGACATATACTGATATATCTACCTAACTAGGATATTTTCTTGAGACAGTTTCCACCGAGAGTTCTTCTCACCCTCTCTTCTATGTTCTTAACTCTGTTAGCTTGTCTCCAGCTTGCCGTTTCGACTACTGACACGACAGCCATCCTCTGACTCTCCAGTAATCCTTCTAGTCCTCTCCCAGTCTGCCAACACTCTCCTTTTTTTATTTCCCTGCATATCTGCTTTAGAGGCTTTGGACCATTATTGCAATAATACTCCTACTAATGCCCTGAACCTCTTTACCCCTCTGGGTTTTTTTCCTCACCCATCTTGTAAAAGCCGACACCAGATGAACAGAACAATCTACTCTTAGTATCTACACCTGGACAGTCGAATGTGGCTGTAGAAGGTCACCCAACAGGGCTTCTCGATTGCTGATTTAAAACTGTCTCTCCGCTCCCCAAACTTCCCCCTCCCACGCTGCTGCCTCCACTCTCAGAAGAGGCCCACCCCGCTTCCCACCTTACAGGGAGAAGGAAAACCATCCAGTGGAGACTGCCTCACCTCCCCAGACCTAACCCGGCACACCCGCCCATTTGTGCACCCTTCTCTCCTGTTACCATAAAGAAACTGTCCCTCGTCCTATTCAAGATTAATCCTTCCACTTTTGCTACAAACTCCATCTACTTGTCCCTTCTTGGAAAACACATTCTCTTTTTAATTATATATCCAGTCAATCTCTCTCTCTCTCTCCCGCCTATATCACTGTCATCAGCTTTTTACCACGCTTATGTCTGTTTTTTTTTTTTTTTTTAAATCTGTCCTCAAGCCGATACCCCACTTCAGCCATTGCCGCATCTCTTTCCTTCCTTTCCCATCCAAAATGCTATTAAGAATTGTTGGTATTTATTTATTGCTCAAATGTCCTCACCACTGTGGCCGCTTCAATTTTGCATCTACTTCTGTCACTGCACCGAGAGCTTTTTCTGTGGCCACGAGTAACCTCCACATTGCTATCCCCAAATGAAATCTTCAGTCTTCATTGTTCATGTTAAAATGACATCTTGGTATCATTTGAGACGTCAAACTCTCAGATAGCTTCAGGAAGGAGGAACTCTTTCTTCCTCTGACTTCTCTTTCTCCTACCTGTGTGGTCATTCCGTCTCTTTCTGTAGGCTCCTTTCTCACATTGCCTCTCTCCCCAGGCAATGTCACCCATGCATATAGCTTCAATTGCCAGCCCTCCACGGGTGACTTGCATCTTTAAATAGCAACCATAGATTTTCCATCTAAGCTCCAGATCATTATATACAACTGGCCACTTGACATATCTCCTCACTGGATGTTGCAAAAATGCCTGAAACCCAAGTCTGAAACCAAATGAAAAATCTTCATCACTGTATCTGGGATTCTTCCAGTCTCTATCTCAGAAAAAGGTGACTACAACTGTCATGTGTCGGGCACTGTTTGGGCACTTGGCACATATCAACAGGCAAAGCAAAACTCTCCAGCCTGCTGGATCCTACATTCTAGTAAAAAGGACACTCGTGTCTCACCTGGAATAGTGCAAACGCCTCCTTCTGTCTGGTTTACCTACATCCATCCTTGCACTCCCTAATCTGTTCTCCACGCTACAGCCAGATGTGTCTGGAACAGGACGCAGAAGCTCCCTCTAAACTCTGTGGGGATATTATACTATCACATATTAATATACTCACGGACCTGAAAAAATGCAGACACTGAGACTCCACTTGCTGCTAGATATTTGGTTCAAAACATTGTCCTGAACAACTGTCATTCTAAATTGTGATTCATTTTTTTTTCAGTCTTAGAGACCGAGTTTCTCCAACCCATCTCTACCCTTTGTCCATGGAGCAAAAACAAGTCATTTGTTACCCTCTTATATAAGATGAAAAATTACCAGTGCTAGATATTCTCCATTCCATTCTCAATAAGCCATGAAAGTGTCCCTTAGATGAATTATACATAGATTAAATAAGAGGTCAATAATGTAGACACTGCTCAAAAAATATATCTGTCAATTCTCCATAATAGCTTCCTCTCT